AGTACCTATTGGCGGGCAGATGGGTCGGTAGAGCAAGTACGGGTAGGAATAGTGGTAGACTAGAATCTACCAAGTAGAGGTACTGTTGGTTAGGTATCTCAGTTGGATATGCTATGCTATACTAAAAAGTACATTGGTACAAGTAAGGAGCGGTGGTTACCCTGCTGGGTAGGGTAACCCAAGTAGTCAATTTGGAAGTTATTGTAAATTGCTCAATAGTAGGTCCGAGTAGAGTTATCCTACCTTCAGACCAAAGTTATCCTGCTATGGAGCCAAGTTACTCTACCTTGAATGTAACTTATTATGCAGGACTTGAGGGGAAGTTACTAGATTGTTTGTCATGCAAAATTACATAGTATGTTCAAATCTCAGGTTGTGCAAATCACTCCTGCACAACCAGTTGAGCTTTGAACAAGCTGTAACTTGGAAGTGTGGTGGCTAACACCCCCCTCCGGTCCCATTATAAGTCTCTAGCATCATGGGCTACATCCTAGAGAGTTGCTATAAGCCTAATAAAAGTCTCCAGGTGGAGATGCTCCTGTAACACCATATACACTCACACTGTCTGTCCTCCTAAAGCTGTCTGCAGGATATATGAGGGGGTAGAGGTGAACCTAGAGAATAGTCTTCAGGTACTTTCATGCAAAACAGACCAGAAATGATGGAGTAATACTTCTTTGAAGTTAGAGGTAGTCTGTGAGATTACTGGAGACCAGTAGGTGAGGTAACCAAAGTCCATTGCCCCAAAAGTGTAATAGTATTAGTAAATCTTTAAGAACTCTAAGACACTAGTCTGAGGTCACGATAAGAGCAACTTCTAGGAGGGTTGACTGTAGGTAGCGCCTATTGGTAGTCAACCTTCCAAGAGGTCCATTGGGGGAGCTACATAGCTATCATCTGGAATGATATGGAATAGAGTATAACCGGATAGATGTTGAGAGACTGCGGATGCTTGTAGAAGATTAAATGTATATGGGTAGAAAGTTTCATAGTTGGTATCACACCTGCTCGGTTTAGGCAGTTCACTACTGACATGTCCACAATATGAAGAGATTTTACTCCTGCAGTAGCATTATAGATGCAGCCGCTAAAACACTTCTTTCGGGTGGATGTTAGCAAACCACAGAGCAGTCTAGTTCACTACAGAGGATCTTTGGTCTGACTCATAGAGGTTGGCTAGGCAGCATAAGGGAGTTGGGTGCTTGTAAATGCAGAGTAGTAACAGGGAGCAACTGGTAGTGTATGAAATCTACTTAAGTATATGCGAGTTCTCCTCAACTCTGGCAATCAATGACGTCTTGAGATCAGGACTTAATTGAGTAAAGCTGTGGCTTAACAATATTAAGTTTTACCATTTTGTTTCTTCAAACTCTACTGTTGAGACTTTGATATTTATTATATTTGTTCGCATTTGCAGAAGAATTCATTTCAGTGCAGTTGCAACCTCGGAATCTGTCTTCCCAGAGGAGACCCCCCCTTACATGTTAAATCTTGCAAAATTAACCAATGTATTAAACAGGTCCATTGGTATCTTAGTTGCCTTATTTGTGCCAAATCTTAATGAAATATTGTACCAGTTGAGAACTCTTATTTAATACACCTTAGATTAGCTTTTATCTAACTTCAAAGAACTCAATCCTTAACTTAAACCATATCATTAAACCAGGCATTAGAAAACTGAAATACTCTTTCATTAGAATGGTACTGCTGAAACAGTAGCTCAGCTTTAACATGAAAAAATCCTCAGCGCACAATCCTTCCTCGGTCCCAGTGACCCTGAAAAGCATCATATAGCTCTTTTTCAAGAACTGACCATTTTCTCTGTCCTATCCGACTCCATCTCTCAGTTCCCACTCTGGTAAGCAGTTTAGACTTAGCCAGCTTCCACTCGGATATATTTGGAACAGGGATTTTAAATCAGCGAGAGGTCTCGGTCAGGTTTGGCCTCCGTACCCGATTGGTGGATTGAGTGCTATCGCAGATGCTAGCCTGATGTAAATAAGCAAGAACCTGAAGTTTATACTGACAGTGTAGGACTTTCCTGCTGCTGAAACTGGAGGACAAAATATAGTCTTTGGCTGGGAGTTGCTCGAAATTGGCACATGTTTAGGCCCGGGGTATTTCTTAGCTGCTGGTAACTGACTCATGATATGCTTATAAAAGACATTAACATCTACAGTATTAAGAATACTGGCATGGACTTGAGTAGCACGAGAAGATTCTGCCATTTTTCAGATTACAGACGTGTCTGGTATGGTGATACCAGTATGGTGTACGAGACTGTTTTTATTAACCTTCTTGTTTCCCGCCATCTTATTTTACTTGAGATGAAGTTCTGCTTCTCTCCTAATTTTCTGTCTCAGACACTGATTGGCACCCTCCCTTACCCAATACTGATATGCGATAATGTCTTACCCCTAAGATCACCTCTCAGCGCGATTCTCTTATATTCAAGTTAATGTGGTAGACCCAGGAACGGTGACTTTCATCCAAGAGCTACGGCAATGGATCGCTCGCGGAGGCTATAAAGCATCCGCATTAGTATGGCGGTAAAAGTGTGTGATGAATAAAATATAAAAAGCGAAGTATCTCCTCAAGATAACTTAGGATAGCAGCCTATTAATTAACTAAATAAGTGCGCACGTAGGTAAGACGGACAAAGAACTAGGAGTGGGGATCACGCAAAGGGCGGTGCAAAGAAGAAGAAAAATAGATCTGAAAAACAAGGACGCCGACCATGGAGTTGAGTGAGAAGAATAAGAGCCCAAAAAAAAACAATACCCAAGAAACAACAAGATGAAAACCCACCAGCGGGATTAAAAACACTTCTTTGTACACTACATTATCACCGCGTTCCCACTCTGAAGGATTGAATATTTAACCGGGGACGCCACTGCGAGAAACAGTCCACCTTCTCTTCCGCTCCCATCCGCTCGCGTCCCAAAGGCCCGTCACGCTACCTGAACTCCCATCATCGCTGCCCTCATCAACCGCGCTCGTGAAGGACGAACCGGATAGGCTCAGGGGTGTGAATTCCTCCCGACTGTCAGGACGGGACTCACGCCCTGAGCGCCCGCTCCACAATCCCCTGTGATTCCCAGAACCCAGCGGTCCGACAGAGCTCGCGCTACGACGGACAGTGTTATTGCCAAACACCCTAGACATGCTACCGACACCGCTGCCACTAAGCGTAAAGTTCCCAATTGGAGCTAGGGAATTGAGGCCGTAACGTAGGTTCGGGCTAACCGGGGGTGTGGACAGCGGGGTAGAGGTGCGGAGATGATCGTTGTTTGCTGTAATCTTCAAATCATATTGTACGGGTGGCGTGGGGATTTCTCCAGACGTTGGGGCTGAGGTGCTGTGGTGATGGAAGGTTTTTGTATTGTTGGTAGGGTATGGTGGTGGGTCTGGGTCCAAGTCTCTGCGCACGGCCATTGTGAGTGAAGAGATGCCAATGTCTATTAAGACTGGTTGATGCGTGATGGCGCCGATCAAGGCGTTGCAGCCAGCGCCATGGGTGACAAGGATTAGGACCGTTTGGATTTCCTCTTCCATATCCTCCTCTTCCGCTCCCCCTTCGCCGTCCGATAACGGGGGTGTCGGATTTCCCCCCGTACTCCCTCTAGTGGTGTTGGGGTCGACTGCGGTGACGGTTGCAGTGCTAGAAGAAGTCTTCTTTTCCTTGGTCTCCGAGAAGCTGATCTCTGTCGCACGTTTCCACCGGGTGGGGGAAGTAGTCATCTTCGGATCCTCGCTAGAGTGGTACCAAAGCAGCTTCTTCCACCCATTCTTAAAACGGGTATGCATGCTAGCCCATTCCTCGGCATACTCTGCTCCACTTCCCAATTTTGAAGAGTCCCATCCGAGATCAAACTCAACATATTCCTTGGCATGCGAAACGTAGCCAGTCGGAATTTTCCCGTGATTGGAGATCGCCCAGGTTGGCGAGGGTGGCACATACCCGCCGGTGAAAGTGGTCGGAAGGGAGGTGGTCAGGGAAGAAAGATTGTACAAAGGCGAGGCATTGGTGACAGGAGCTACAGGAATCCCACTCGCGGAGGATGGCCGAATGTAGTCCGCTTTCGCAGTTCCAATAAGTAAACAGGTTGGAGGTGGCGGAGTAATATCGACATAGTAATCCTCGGCCAGCCACTCCCCCAACCACGAATCCAATCGCAGAAGCGGCTTTGTGAACTGAAATTTGGATCGGGCTTCCGTAGTCGGCTCAATGGGGTGCTCAGCGACAAAGTGGGCATTTGTAACCTCTTGGTGGTGGTGCTGGGCCATCCCCGCGGCAATGGACACACTCGTCTGGATGCACCGGAGGAAAGGAGAAGAGTGAATGACAACCCGCACTTTCTTGGCCCTCTTCCTCTTTCGTTTTGCTTCCCCTTTGCCCCCGGCCATTAATGGAGAGGACGGATGGTCCAACTGATTTCCAATCAACGTGGCTATTCGAACTCCTACCGAGCGGGACTGGGTCCATCCCCCGTATGTGAGGGGTGTATCGTATGGTGTTGGCGAGGTGAGTTGCCATTGAGCATCGGCCATGTCTAACCGGGCTCCATGGCGAACGATAAATATGTGAGAAGGGGCCGACTTGGAGAACGGCATTTTATGCAACGCGTGGGGAAAATCAGGGATCAGGTATCGGTGTTTGTAACTGAGCCGCCGTGTATGGTATAACTGGGTGTTGCTGCTGGAGAGAACGGTCTTGCGGGAAGACGAAGGTATGGAGGAAGATTTAATGCTACAACGGTGGATATTTCTCGAGGTCGAAGTTTGTATGGAACAGGGGAGATATGTACTCGAGTAGGTTCGTGGGTGATGAGACACACAAAGGGAGCAAGGCGGAAAGTGCCAGGTCAAGAGAGAGATCCCTCCGTCCCCCAGGGTATCCAGTATAATAACAAAATTTGATGGGTGATAATGGTTCTTATAATCAAAGGGTTTGCGAGAAGAGAGGGGTGTGCCCTCAAGCAGAAGGCTGTGAGTCCCTGTCGTATTAAACTATGATATATGTATGGCTTGCAAGTTCTGCTTCAACAGTGCTTGTACAATAGCGGTAGTGGTTCGCGTTTGTCTTGGTGTAAATTCAGCTGTCTCCGGCACCAGTACTGTACTGTGGTGCTCTGTATCAAATGTCCCCTTTTATTTAATTTTTATTCCTCCTAGGTTCGGCCTTGCAGACGAATCGCCGATTCCTTCGCTCCTAATTATCGGTGCCTTGTCTTGTGGAAAACCAGGAGTCGAACAATGATTTTTATTTATTTAATTGTCATTCCCCTCAATGCTCAAAATGGATGGAGTGGGAGAGACAGGCGGTGCGGGGATAGGGATTAACAGGTAGGAAAGAGGAGGTTATCCCGCCCTAAGTTAATAGGGTGATGACGGTGAGGGCGATGATGATGGTTGGTGGAGGAGTGGTCTGAAGACGGTGGGGAATGGCTGTGCCGCGGGGAAGAAAGCAGGGAAAGGAGCTCGAAACAAACTGGAGGGGCGGGAATTAGAAATGAGTGGCCAATGCTTTCACGATGCTGGCATGATGTGGTGCGGTGCGGTAGTGGATATAAAAAACGAGATGAAAAAAATACATGTAGAAAAGTGGGAGCCATACACTACTACTCGAGTAGTAAAGTGCAGGCGCCGGTGCCGGTGCCGGTACCGGTACTCTATCCATACGGTAAGCTAACAAAATGCTCCAATACCGTACGAGTGGGCAAGGCACCACACGACCACGCTTCTGCTTTTCTTGACTAGACCAAAGGTGGAGGGGAGAGGCAATGCAGTGAACATATCGTATATTGCCCCTAAGGAATGGGTTGTTGCTTGTTTCACCAAGTGAAAAGCGGGCTGGCATCATACTCGAGTTCTTGTATTGCTAGGATAAATCTATTATACTCGAGTATTGTATTGGGAAAGCATGGTGAACTTCCGATAAACGAATGATACGGTATTTCGCCCCATAACGGTGGTTAATGCAGGAAGCACACACACAAAAACACAATCGAGATTAAGGAAGTGATTAGATAGGTTGCACTGGTACTCAGTACAGTACTCGTACAGTACCGGTACCTATACCCAGTGCAGAATGCACACCTATCACGAGTACCCATCATGCAAAGGTACTGTACGAGTGCTCGAGTACCTTTGCTTCTGTCGCACTCACTGGACACACCTCCACACCCTCACCCAAAAAGCAAGGGTGGCCATCCGGAGAAGCCAGTATTTCCGCGCGGGACTCCAGTGCTGGCACTCCGGCGTGATAACATAATCACACGCCAACCCGCCTTTTTATTGTACTTGTACTAGTGCAAGTATTCGAGTAAATTTATGCCCATCATACAAGTACTTTTTTTATTTATTTTCTACTATAATACCGGTATCCTAGACACATGCATACCTGCATACCGGTATCGGTATCACGCTCGAGTATGGAGAGCTAGTCTAAATTCATCCCGTGCTCTCGAATACCCGTCGCGGGTGGTGCTCTCAAGAACATAAGCGACGGTCCGTCGGTCCGTCAGTCCGCCCGCGTCTCCATTAGTCTAACATCAACTTAATCTTTGTGCAAAAGTAAGCAAAGCCAAACAGCACCGGTACCGTACTCGATCACTAGAGAACCGGTATTGCATAAACACAACCCCTTTCCGCACGAGTCAGGGAACCACGAAATGCGAAGAAGAAATCTGCGCCCACATGCGTCGGCATTCGAATGAGACCCGCACACTCGCCATACCGAGTGCACCCCCGGAGCACATGGTACGGGCCAAGGCCAGCAACGAAATAAGAGCAAGAGGGAGAGCATAATGCCGGTACGCTATGATACTGGGTATCTCACTTGTGGACTGGCGAACGACGAAGCGAGTCCAGAGCCTGGAATGGATCTGGAGACCAAGCAGAAATGGACGCCGGGATGCTCTGTTGGCTTTGTTCCTTGCCGTGTATGGTACTGTACTGTACGAGCGCAGTACGTACTCGAGTATCATAATTACAAGTATGTGAAGGGCTCATGTGACCATACCTCACACAAGTGAAGCGGAACAGAATAAAAGCACACAAAACACCATGATAGTACCCCCACCCCTCGTATCCCCAACCCTTGTCGAGTGCAAGAGTACCGTACAGTATGATACCGGTACTCGAGTAGCGAAACTCAACCACCCCCCTTCTCCGCCCCTTCGCGCCATCCAGCCATCCACTAATCTGTTCATCTGCCGCTATGGGGAGAGTGGACCGTGACCCACCATAAATACCGCTATCCCCGCTCCCAGCCCTCCCAACCTTCCATCAATGCCGGTATCCGAATCTCAAAAACATAATGAAAACCCGTAATTCAAAAACGTGGCATCTCCGAGTACGGTGCCCTACCTTGTCTGTCAACCTTTTTTAAGCCTCAACAACCCTTCCCCCGAACCGAGGATGGGTAAGGTTGCGTGGGCCGCCATATCAGAGTGAGCTGGTGGCACTCTGCCGTACAGAAACTCCTATCATACTTGCATGGCCTTCGGAGCAACAAAAGGAATGAGACTCCCCAGGATATCTGTACGGAATGGAATACTCGAGTATGATACCGTTTCTCAATCTACCCCAGACCTAGACATCATGAGTGGTATCATATTCATAAAGCCCTCAAGTTATAGGGATGGAAATTTCCATCAGCTGCTCTGCTCGCTGACCATGGGATGTGAAGACCGGTGAACTTCGTCGCCTGCAAAATCGGACAAAAAAACTGCCAGATCCGAGGAGAAAGCGCCAAATGATAGTTGTACGACGAGTACGAGTACCCGTACATTCGCCTGATGTATCACAGGGTCTTGGCAATCTTCAACAGGGGGTTGCAGGAGCTATTTAATTTAATGGGGGAAAAAATGTGGGTGCCCTCTACTCGAGTATGGAATCTGCCATTACCAGATTAGGAAATGTTTCTCAAAAAAGAGTCATTCATGTCCTAATATCTTGGGCAGGAGTTGGTGGGGTATGATTCCTGAAGTGTTACGGGAGCCTTGCGGAAGTTAGTGTGCAGTACTATCAGTACAGCACCAATATTTTACCACCGAGCAGTCCTTTCAAGGAAAGCTTCAGCCTGGGGATTCCGAACCGCCCGCCCTTACATAGATTTCAGCCTGCCCCCATCTACACTTATTATGCTCTTGGGGAATTTGCTCAACAATCCCCATGATCGGGCTCCTCGACAGTGCGAATCTTTTGGTGAAGCCCTATGCCCAGAGGAATTACCGCATTTTATCCGTGGCAAAGTTGAGATGGGAACGGTAGCTCTATTACAATTTTGAGCGGTAGGATGGTGATTGCTGCGAATTATATACTACAAGTATTATCATTCCTTTCGCCTGTGACCTGCGCCCGAGATATCATACGCACGCAGTGCGGGACACGAGTACTCGAGTACCGGAACTCTAGTACAAGTATGATATGATATCTGGCTGCTCCAGTTCGTTACACCGTGGGGGTCATGGGGTATCGCCCTTGATCTGGCTGAGAATGTGCGAGTCACTCAAGCGCTGTGCCGGTACTTACCGGCAGGTTGTTTGTGCTGCATTCTAGGCCGTTCGGTTTAGGTGCTGCAAGGTAACGGCAGTTGATTATCTCTGCTAGATTATACAGTGCCAAGCAGACTGCTGCTGGGAATTTTGGAGTAGAGAGAGAGAGCATGGGGGGGGTGATTATGGGCACACTTATCCAAAGCATACCGGTGCTCGAGTACTCGTAGCTGAAGCGGTGAGCTCATGAGGGCTGAGGATAGACAGGACCAAGTTATTGTCTCTTGCAGAAATGGTCTATTCAAGAATAAAAGCCCATTGGGCTACGGTATCGTGGGCATCATCCAATTCCCTCCTCGTTTGTTGCAGAACCAGAGTCCGAGGTTAACCTGCTTGCTTCCAAGAAATTCCTCTCGTAAGGTGTCCTACGAGTAACCCTGTTCTCCACCCGGGATTGCGGCATCCTTCGTCACCAAGGACCGCTCTCTGAAAACGGGTTTCGCTGAGTAGGTATTGTTCAGTGACAAGATTAACCGCGCACCAATGACCGGGCGATGTACCAGCTACGAGTATAGTTGATCGGAATACCAATACGTTTAGATGACAGCTACGCTCCCCTACCAACCCTATCATAATAACAAATTTTACTTTATTTTATTTTTAAAAAAAATACACAGTAAAAATCAATACTCAGTATACTATCCATCAGCTTTAATAATTGCTTCATTCTATCCACCATTGGTCCTGTCAAAGTATCAGGGGCCTTTGAGTCAAGTAGTTCCCAACAATAAGTAATGGGCTTCTTTGTGGCCTTTTTAACCCCATTATTAGGTCCCTCCATGATATATATCTCAGGATAGTGCTTTTAAATCTTATCTTTCACCAGAAATTAAATATATTGAAGTGAATTAAGATCTACTGAATAGGTAGGAATTTCCATAAGAGCAATTCCCTGCCATTTGAGTTATTTCCTAAAGGCTAAATGAGTCTTAATATTCTCAAGGATAAAAAATACCTCTTCCTTTCTAATCCTTTCTCTAGTATCCTACCATATCACCAGAAAGTCATATTTAGTATGATTGAACATCAATAATTGACCTTTCCAGTAACTCCAGTCCCAACAGAAGTAGGATTAGAAGGGGCAGGCAAAAAAAATGATAACAAGCTTAACTATAAAAATAACCAGCAATAATTTGGCTAATTTCTTCTCTCCTGCTACACTAGCAGGACTCCTATAATACCGGAGCTTTCGTAGTAATTCCCTAATTTCAGACCTTAATAGTAAATAGTGTTGGTCACGAGCCGGCTCGAGGCTGGCACAACCATAGGTTTGAATGGCTTGGGGTCTCAAGCCTAATCTCGATCCCGGCCAAGCTTTCATGTCTTCCCCAAACTTCACTTGTATGCAACACGAGAACCTGTGTATAGTTGAGCAAAGAAGCGAGATGTATTTGAAAACATGTGTTGTGCGAACGGACTCCCGTGCTCACTTCCCACACTTCCTTCCTTCAGCTTAACATGATACTTTAAGGCATATTTTCATGCAAGCTTCAGTACTTGTCCCACTTCCTGCATCACTTCGCCTGCCTTCTACTATCTGCCTCTTCTCTCTCTCTCGCTCCCTCTTTCTCCAAGTACGAACATAAGCTCATGCAGGCCCAAGGCCGGCTTGAGCTACATCCTGGAAATTCCCGGGCAAGAAGGGCTTGTAGGCTATCAAGCAAAGCACGAGAGCGGCAGACACAGTTGGTGCGGTATATCCACAACTA